TCTATTGTAGTGATTTTGTGATGAATTATTCGTGTTTTTTCGTTCTGGTGATCTTCCTCTATAACTTGAGTTATATGGTGATTGATTTCTTGTATAATTTGTATTGTTCGGGAGTGGTTTTCCTGAACTGTTGTTGCTGTAGACTGTTTTGTTCGGTAGATTTTGATCTTTTTTCATGTATTGATAGAATGATTTATTTGGTTCTTTATATTTTTGAGGTTTATTTTGATTGTCTTGCTGTTTTTGTCTACATTCGGAAATACTGTGTCCGTATCGTCGGCAATAATTACACCATTTTTTGAAAGATGGTTTGCCTTTAAAGTTTGGGTTCTTTTCGTAGATATTGAGTATTTCAGTGATTTTTTCAACGAGGTCTGTCTCTGATTCCTGTATATTATTAATATTAGTGGGAGTCGTTTCAATTCTGTTAACGTATTGTAATTTCAGATTTTCCGTTTCTTCTAGTTTCATCGTGATTTCTGCTTGTTCTAATTTGTCTACTAGTTTTCGAAAATCTAAATCGGGTTCTCGAATTGAAGAAGGATGGGATGCTCTCTTTTTTATTGCTATTTTCCTTAATTGTGGTGTTAAGGTCATCATTAAGATTTCTGTCATCTTTGTGTTTTTATAGTCATGTGTATTTAATGAATATGCTTTTCGAACTAGTGTTTCGATTCGTACTGCTATTTGCTTGATGGTTTCGTTTGGTAATCTGCGAATTTCATTACATAAAACTCTTTGTTGTTGTTTGTTTCTTTCGGAGTCAAACATTTTTGAAAATTCTTGTGTAAATCTTTTCCAGTTTGATTTTATTTCTAGAGGTAGTACTGAAAACCATTTTTGGGCTGCGCCATCTAAGGTTGTTTGTATTAACGCTGTGCGTCGATGTATCCAGTTTTGATGTAGTGGCGTATTAATTGGTTCAGGTCCAATATTTAAAATCAGGTTTGCTGTTACTGCATTTAAATAATCTTCTACAGAGTATTCAGGGTCTGTTCCTGTGAAAACCATTAAAGGTTTGTTTGATGTTATTGATGATCCACCCATAAGGTATGGATTCATTGTCATTTGTAATGATTCTGCTGCATTTGGCATTTGAGAAAAATTTGAAAGTTGGTTTCTTGTTATCTCATGTTGTTGGAGATAATATGGGAGTGGTATTTCATTTTGCATTTGTGATGGTTGATACGAGTGTGCAGTCGTTGGATTTTGTTGTTGATTTGGTTGAAAAGATTGTGTATTAATTGGATTTTGTTGTTGAATTGGTTGTTGATGTTGTGCATCTATTGGTTGTGGAGAAAAATTTCTATGATTTGTACGTGTTCTCTGTATTCCTTGTCTACGATATTCTTGAGTATTTTGTGCAAATATATCTGGTTGTAAGAAATCATCATCTGAGGATAAATAATCCATTTGATAAGATGTCTGTTTTTTATTTTTATTTTGTTGAAAAAATGGGTAATTTTCACTGTGATCCCGTGGAGGATTTGTTTGGAAATTTGTTGAATTAGGTTGGGCCATTGGGTTATCCCAATTTCGAGATCTTGTATATTGGTTAAAATTTCTTTGTGGTTGATTATATGTTTTTGATGGATGTGTATAATTATAATTATGGTCTGCAAAGTTGTTTCTAGTGAATGTTTTGCGTGTTTTTGATGGTATTGTCATGGGTCTGTATGTTTGGTGATCCATATGTGAATATTTAGGGGCAACCGAAGGTTTAACGGTTGATTGTAAGGTTACCTGTGTTTGTGAAGGATTTGTATTTCTTGGTGTTGTTAAATTTGGGCGTATTGGTGAAATACTTTGTTGTGTAGTTGTTGTGTGTACAATTTCTTCATTTATGAAGTGTGATGGTGTCTGGATATCTTGTTGAGTAAGATTCCTAGTTCCATTGAGGTTTTCATTGTGTATAACTGTAGAGTTTAAACTATTATTTTGTGTATCGGGTAAAAATGTATTATAGTTTAATGGTGTTGCATCAATTGTTAATGGTATTACTCTTACATAATCTCTTATGTAAGATATTGTACCTATTGCTTGACTTGAGATTGATTGTGGAAAGCTTATAAATGCGGGATGAGACCATTCGGGGTCCCAAACATAATCTGATTGTTCTGTGATAGCGGTATCATCGTTCGAGTTTTGGGGTCTAAAATTTTTTCTTGCTTGTGCAATTAAATCAATATTGTGTGTGAAATAATCTATTATGAACCATGCCAAAATTTTTTGTAGATCGTGTTTTGTATGTTGTGAAACGTCGTCTTTCGTGAAATTTTCTTTAATGATGTTTAAATAACTAGAGAGTAGTGTGATTTCATGTCGTACTCTTAAATGTTTAGATGTTTCTTTTGGTGAGACATTTGTTAATGGGATTTCGTTTTCTAATATCGAAATATAACTATATATTATTGCGAAAACTTCATTGGTGAAAATGGAGTTTGCTCTTTGTGAGTTATGGTATTGGATGCTTTTTATATATTCTGAAAAAACTTTTGAAAATTCTAAATCAAGATCGTCTGTTTGAATTGTATATTTTCTATTATTATGGTTTGGTGAGGTGAATTCTATGGAGTAGATTCCATACTGTTGTGTTATGTTGCATATATCTTTTAGATAGTGATCTATGATTTGTCTTTTGATTTTTACATCGGGGAACTCTGTTTTACATGGACTGATTCCGGGTTCAAATAAATTTACGAGTAAATTTTGACAAAATATGTGTTGTCCTCTATCAGTATCTGCGTCTACTATAAAAGGAAAGATTTCATCATCATCTGGACTTTCTTCACCTGGAGTGTGCGTTGAGCTCATTTTTTCGTTCGATGACTGTTAATATGTAATTATTAATGTGTCGAATTGGTTGATTCCAATTGTATAAATGTACTGGTTTGTGTTTATACTGCTTTTTTATTCTTCTTTTTCCTCTTTGTGATGAATTTGAAGTTGTTTCTGAGTCAGAGAAATATAATTGATCGTGAATTGGGCAATTTTTATCTATTGATTCTTTTAGTTTGTAGAGTTCGTCCAAACTGTTGGTTTCTGATTCTGAAAATGCGTTTCGATTTTTTGAAAATCTTTTTCGTGTTATTTGTCTTTGTTTAGTTATTATTTTTCTCTTTAGTGTTTGTCGTTTTGTTCGAATGTATCCAACTGTTTGTGTATGAGGTGTGATTACAAGGTCGTATTTTTTGTTATCTATTTCACAATTGTGTAAAACGATTGTTTGTTTATTTCCTAGGTTTTTAAATGACATAAGGTTTAGAATGACGGATGCAAAAGGTTGTTAAATGATTTCTATTTTCTTAAACTGTTAGTTCTTACGATTTTTTGGTTAGCTTAACCTGGGTCTGTTTGTTCAGGGTTGGAGAAAAAAGTTTATCGATTCCGAAGAATGATTTTTTACTTTCTCGTGGCTAGTATAAGTTAAGGTGTTAACTTACTTAATCTTACTTAGGGGTAGTGATTGTGTTCAAGGGTTGGGGAATAGTAAATCGATCCACAAGGTTCAGGTATAATTAGAACGCGAGTAGTTCGTTAGATACTATTTTAAACTTACTAAGTCTAAGATTTATCCTGGGTCTGGTAAGAGGGGGGGTCAAGTGAAGGATGAATATCCGAAGTTCTTCACTGTTTATCCTAATTTGAATGATTAGTTTTGTTTAAAAATTTCTATTAGTCTTGGGTCTTTAGAAAGGGTTGGGTAGTGAATCGACGTTTGAGGTCGTTAGACACTAATTAAGTGGGTGGGGGAGAACAAAGTTGTTCTGTTTGATCCAAGGATAAGCCTTGATGATCAAATTTGAAATTTAATTAAGTAGAAAATGATTTAAGATCCAAGGATAAGCCTTGATGATCTGGTTTTAAAATTAAGTGAATTTAAGTTTTAATAAAATTTTAAATGTGTGTAAAGGAAAGATTTAGTGTTTTGATGATGTTAGTGGGTTTATGATTGCTGTTATGTTTTAGGTGATGGAGCTGGAACAACAGGATGATTTATGATTACTAACCATTTATTGTCATGCTACTAATTTTTATTTTTATTTTTCAATAAATATTTTTCAAACATGTTTTGTATATTACTGCAGAGTTTTAGGAAAACGATCTTAGATCTTTTTATCAATCGTTATTGTATATTAATAAATTTGTTTAGCGCCTGAAATGATTTTGAAGAGTAACTTCAAGGTTTTATGTTTGCAAATGGAAATCTAAATTCATTGCAAGTAGTATTCTAAATATAAAAGTTTGTTCTGGCTTTTGCCGAACTATCATATAACTATACGGCAAGTTTCTACTTTGTCGTATGTCGTCTTTGGCTCGAGGTCTTCTTCCAATTCCGGGTAGTTCTGTTATGGTTCGGAATATTGGCTCTGATCTATTGAGTCGGAGAGACATTTCAATTAAATTATTGTCGTATAACATTTTGTAAATGTTTTTGTCTAATTTCTAATCTATTTTGGTTAATTCTAATCTATTAAGGTCTTGTTCGAGACTTATGGTCGCACCAGATGAGTTAGGACTGAAGTGTAACTCATAGAGTAATTTCGGATAGGGTACACCGTCTGCTCGTCACGCTATCTTATTTTCGGCCGGATAGATTCGTGCAACTTCTTAGTCTAATACCGATCCTAATCTTACTCTTATACTATCTAGTCTCAGGTTGTTTAACTAGTCTCTGCTAGGCTCAATAGATCTAGGGTATACTGGTTTATTGCGGCTGCTGAAGTGCTCGGGAGAGTCCAACTAATTTCTAAGTTAAATTCAAATCTCTCTGGTGCTGAAATTACAAGTAACTTCAGCACTTACAAATAAGTGGGTTGTTAGTTAGATGGGTTGTGATTGGTTAATATTAAATACTTTACATTGGTAAAACATTTAATTTATCCAATCATAATATGTAGTTTAGATCAGGTTCCATTTTTATGAAGGGTGACTTTAGTTCTCTAGCTAAAACGAAGACCCTGTGTTGAAAGTTTCAGTTTTCATTTTTGTATTTCCAGCCCGCAGTGTTGATTATGTGCTGCATTGTACTGGTGACATACCACGGCTGCAGCTTACTTTTAATCTGCAAACAGAAAATAGACGAACGAAAACTATGCGATTCGACTGAAAGTATCCATGTCGGAACCGATAAACCAGTCAAAATCGGATACGCTGCATTAGCCGGGGACGCTTTCGGACCCGTTGGCGAAAGTGTCGTCACTATTAGTATTTTCGTCATTCATTTCTGTTTTTGCACTGGGTATTTTATCTATTTGGGAAACAGCATGGAGTCTTTAGCTGAAGAGTTTCAACGGTCACGAATTTGTTCACAGCCTGAGAATTTCGTTACACGCCAACTTGAAGCCGCAGAATTACCAGAAGATCTGCTATTAAACCGATTATGGACAAACGGAAGCGAGTTTGCAGTCGTACCGTACAAACGAGTCAAAAATGGAGTTGAGTTCGAGTGTGATTTTAGACCAGAAGATGCGCCCAAATTTAATCATCTGGTCTGGATTATGTCACCTTTTGTGGTTATTCTCTGTCTGCCAAATTTCCAAATTCTGCAAGATTTTCTCAATATTTTTCAATTCATAACTGTTATTTTTGTTTATTTTTGTTTATCTGGGTGGCTAGTTGGAGGTTAGTTGAAAAGTCAGATCACTTTTCTTACATTTCTTTCTTAAGCTTTCTTTAGCTTAACCAAAAATTGTTTCAGAGTCTCTGGAGTCTAACTTCAAGCCCTCGACCACAGTGTTCATTCCAGAAGGTCTTCTGTTCACATTTGGTCAGGCATCTAGTACTCTGGAGGGTATGGGACAAGTAAGTTCAGAGATAAAGGGTTATTAATAAATGGGTGAAATTGTTAGTTGAAAACCTGAGATTTGCCGGTTAACTTGAGAAAATGTATTTGTAACCTCATTGGAAAAGCCTCTTGGTGAAACAGTTTGAAAACTTTAATTTGCGTGGGCAATATAAAAGTATAAATTGGGAGGCAGCCTAATTTTGAGTTGAAAGCTGCTATACTTGCAATGAAAAACCGTTTATCGTTTAAGATTACTGAAGTCTACGACAACTTGTATGAAGATCACTCCTACGTGCGATCTTACCTTGCCAAAACCTTCGCAATCGCCCTTCCAGCTTACCTGACTCTGGGAATTCTGGGTTACGTAGTTCTGGGTAACAGAGTCGAACAAGTCATCACCCAGAATTTGGGCGTGGACCAGGAGTTTGAGCTAGTTATCAACTTCTTGGTAGTTTGCATGATTCTCTTCGGATACCCTGGAATGGCTTACCCTGGCCAGAAAGTTCTGGAGCAATGGTGCTACAAAATTTGTATGTTTTTCAACCACTTTAACATTTTTCATTTTTCTCTCTCAAACGAAATTTTTTCACTTATTTTTTACTAAGAATTTTTGCGATAATCTTATTTCGAATAGCAGAATAAAGCTGAACTTTGATACCTCTGTCTAGGAATTCAATCTTTCAATGTTGAGAGATATGATTTGATGTAACTCGACCATAATTTTTTTGCTAAGGTTAAGCGTAACGTTCGTTGCTTGTCATCAACTAGGATCTCCGGAAAACTGCCAGTCAACATATTTGAAAACTGAATAATTTTCTGTCGCATGAGAACTGAACTAATATCATTAGGAGGAATCTAATTTTACCTGATAAGTCCTCTTAAGGCTTTGGTTATGCTCTAAAAATTATTTACTTTTACAAAATTATTTTTCTTCAGTGACAAGTGGTTGCTATAAAAGACAAAAAATTACCCCAAAATCTCAGCAACCCGAATCAACTGACGACTCCTCCGCCGTCAATCCAAGTAATGAGGGTGACAAAACTGGAGAAGCGGAACAACATATCTGGGCCTCGAAGACGTCCAAACTGGTCTCGAGAGTGTCTTTTGTGCTGGCAACTGTAGCTCTTAGCACTATGTTCCAGTCGTCCTTCATTTTCATATCTGCGTTCACTGGTAACAATTTTACAGTTCTGCCAATTGGTTTTTTGAACAAAAAAGACAGTCAGAATTAATCGTGCCAATAAAACGTGAGCAAAACGGTTGCACCAACAAGTTGGAAAGCGAAAATGCATCTCAAATGCAAAACTTAGAGGTTTTTTGCAAGGGCCATGTTTTGATATTCAAACGTTTTTTTTTCGTTACATAAGGACTTATTTTACATTCTTGTGTTTTAGGTGCCATGGACAATTGTCTTTTGTCTTTGATCTTCCCCGCTGCAATTCACACCAAACTGATGATGGGAGATGGGTCCTCTGGCCAAGGAACACATGGGATGGGGCGTACAGGGACCCAAGTGAAGAATGGACTGATGATGGTGTTTGGACTGTGTCTCGCGTGCGTCTCTCTTATCAGTTTCTCACTCATAGACACACAAGTCAAACTGGTGTGAACAAAAAGGACAAAAGTGTGAAGAAAAACAAACAGTTTGACTAAAAATTGCCCAATACAGAAAATTTTCTAGAAGTTTTGGAAAAGTATATATACAAGAAGAAAGAAAACTGAATAAACGAGGACCGAATATCCCAAACCTCTAGAAGCTTTGAGATAAACTGAAATGAAATTACTGCAATGCTGATGATAACCTATATCTATAAGAAATATGTCGGAAATTTCAGTCTATAGATGTTAGCCAGGGTACTAACGATTGAATGTGTTTCAGTCAGCGGTGGCTTTAAAGAGCTTTGATAGTTTCATTTTGATGTATAATGAACGAAAAAACCTTGAATTTTAGAGTATATGTTTGTGATGGGCTGCAATCCAAATTTGTTAAGTTTTCTCAAGTGGTGAAAAAATCGAAATTTTTGCTGAATGTATATTAAATGTTGCTTTAAATTTTTATTTTCTTACTGTGTGGAAATATTTTTGATGTAGAATATTTTGATGAGCAATTTCAATTGAGTGTTATATGTGTTTTGTTTTTGCTTTTTTTTCCTATTTGACTTCTGACGGATTTTATAAAAAAAAATAGTGATGATACTTTTTGGCAAGGGTGAGTAAAAAAAGAAAGCTATAATCTTGTAGTAGCAGCCAGCAAATCAAACGTATCAACAGCAGTTAAAATTTCAATAACTAATTTTCTTTGTATGTTGATAGTGAATTTGACTGAAATAACTTCCCCTTTCATTTTTCTACAAAAATTGATAAAATCTTGATTTTCTTTGAATTTACCATCTGGTGTTCATTCTGGTGGAAATAATTATTACTTTTTAATTAATTCTAAATAATAAGTTCTTGGAATGATTAACTGAATACAAAAAACACTTTCATGATTCTCATATCACCAAAAAGTTCACTTTTTCTGCAAACGCGTAAAAATAACAAAGTAGCCAACTATTTTTGACTGGCTATCAGCTAATTTAAAAGTGGGTGCTAAGTTAAGTTAGCTGCTTAAGAGGCAATTATGTGTAGATTAACTTTACCTGTGTTAGGGGGAAGGGTACAAATTGGATAAAGATTGGACGGGCTCGACAGAGCAGTAGATTCAGTCGAAAGATCTGCAGGCCAAAAATTTACCTGTAATTTGATCACGCCTTGCTCTGCTCACATGATTCATATGTAATTGTTGACGAATTGTTGATTCACATGTAATTGTTGACGAAAACTTTTTCCGGAGCAGGCTTGGGTAAGTTCAAAATACTTGGAAATTTCAGATGCTGCGGGCCCTCGCAACACTTTCGAAAGGACTAAAAAAGGTTTGACACCTTCGCAATTTGCCCCATAAATGGTCTTTTTTTTCAATCAATTGTACTATAAAATGCTCCTAGACTTTGTAATGTTTGAGCTAAACATATATGAATTTTTCAATAGCAGTTTGAAGAAGCATCTGGTGAGGTCGGCTAGCTGAACATGTCGGGTGGTTGAATCTTTTCACAAAGTTGGATGGAATTCAGGGTGCGATTGGGTCTTAAGAGGGGCAATAGGGGATAGGGCGGATTAGAGCCAATCAGAGTAGAGCTTCTCTCTTTATTGGCTCCTAATCGCCCATTAATTGATACACCCGCCCGATTTACTCCATACTGAAGACTTATCAGTTAGCATCATCAGTTTAGGTTTTATTATTTACCAATTGATGCATAAATAGAAACAACTGCTGATTTTCGAAAATAAAAATCGGAAACTTCGTGATATCTCTTACTTTGATATCAACTCTTGGTTTTAATGAACAACACATTTTTTTTCGGTTGTTCCGAAAAGTTTCTAGAAAATTTCACATGTTGTTATGAATCATTGGATAGCTCTACGCGGTAAGAAAATTTTACATTTTTTTCACAGAATATTTCAAGCAAATGTCATTTATATCAAATAACTGTTGTTTCCATTTAGATCTCGGCGCTCATCTTTTCGCCCCACAACATTACGAAACTTTTCTTTTCTCCTCACAACACTCAGAAAAGGGGTCACAAAAACCGTGCCCAAACTCCGCAGCCCAATCCCAGCAGAACAATGTACACAACTTCGCCCTCGAGCTGGAAAAGTTCGTCGGACTATCAGCCGCATCTGCAGTTATTAACCCAGTCATTACGAGGTAAACTTTTATTTATAAATACCTGATTTATGCTAAAAAACCTAATTTGTCGGAATGAAAATTCCGCTTTTTTGTAGAAATTACTCGAGCTTCGGTTAAAATCAATTGATATCATTGAAAACAGTCTGAAACTTTCTTGTTTAAAATTACTCTAAAAGAATGTTTAGAAGCCATTTTCTAAACAAATTAGCAACATGCAGAGGATTAAAAGTTCTGATGTTATAAAAAAAAATCCAGATACGCGCAGTTCTGGCAACAACTGCCCCTGTTCAAGTTCTACTGGCAGTTGGCAAGAGTGAACACCAATTCAGTCCCCGTGACGAGGAGCTATCAAGACTCGAATGATGTGAAACAGTACAAAGTACCCACAGGTAGTTTACTTTAAATTGAAACAAACGGACTTATTACTTTCTTATATTCATATAACCTTCGCAAGGATTTTTGATCATGCGAACAATTATATTATCTTATATTACTATTAGTAATTATATTATATTAGTATTTTCACAAGGTACTACTCTACTACTGAAATTGGTCACACCTTCTTGTGGCATCACTGTACGACCAAAATCGGAAATATCTAGTCAAGGGACAAAAAAGTTTTCTTTTTGAAGCGATGAGTAATAAACGATTTTTTGCTTACTCATTTCTTTTCTCTGCAATTATTGAAGATACAGAATTAAAATTTTGATACATATTAATGAATTTATTTTAAGAGATCTCGTTTGACAAAATCTTGTTTCGCAAGCGTTTAATGACCAGGTAGTATTATAAACTTGAAGAGGTCTTCACTTTGCTGCAAAACTTGATTAAAAAGCTCCATAAGTTCAAGTTTACATGCTCGAAGTGTTCATTTGGAGGCCAGTCAAATGTTTTTCTCACAATTTTTTTTGAAATAATTGAAAAATTTTACTTTTTTTTAACATCAACAAATAGCTGAAACCGTTTAATGACCACCCGGGTTGAGCTCACACTGAAAATTAGCAAAAAGAAAAGAAAAAAAAGCGATCGCCATCCATGAATTATCGATGTTCATTGCCACAACAGTAAATTTTATCGATATTTTTTCGCTAATTTGGCTTATTTTCAGCGATGAATCTGCGATAAAAAAAATCTATCAAAACGAGCAAAAATCGTGATGACAGAGGGGATGGATACCGCAGCCGGCAGCTTTGTAGACATGCATCTGCGCTATCAAGCATTATAATAACTCAAGTTAAAGGGCTTAGTAATAAAAACTCTCGGATCTTTTCAAGTTTCCCACCCCTGTGTTAAATTACAAAACAAAGATGTTCAAAAATTGTTCACGCGGCAGTTTGCATGTTAGAAATGTTCTAGAAATGAGTTCACCTGTTCACGCTGAGACGTTTTACTGCAGTTACTAACTTGAAAAGTCATTTTAAATAAATTTTCAATTAATGACTTTCAGCAAAAATCAAAGGGGGGGACTGGAAAAGAGCCAAGCTCTCATTTGAAAGCTATAGAATGAGTTAAAACTTCTTAAGTCTTAGTGATTATTTTCTACGGAATCATTACTGAAGTAGCTCTGGAACATCGCACATTTAGCTATGCAAAAAACTCTGAATTATTCATGAATCAGCTCTGGAAAATAGCGATCACTGGGATACTACATAAAAAGCGATAATTAGTGGTGGGCTTCAATCCGGGCAGTTAATGTTAATAACATGAAGAGGTCTTCCCTTTGCTGCAAAATTCGACTAAAAAAGCGCCATGAGTTCAAATTTACAGGTTCGAAAGGTTCATTTGGAAGCCAGTAAAATGCTTTTTTCACTAATTTTTTTGAAACACTTTACTTTTTACTTTTTTGAAATTTTACTCTTTTTTTTCTAAGATCAACAAATAGCTGAAAACGTCGGATAGTTTTTACGCTGTCAATGTACAGCAAACTGACAAAAGAAGGTGTTCCAGAAAGGATTTTGTAAAAATGCACTGCTGATTCATCACAGTTCAACAATACTCATGTACCGAATGTTCAGACTGCACTTTAAGGTCTATTAAAAAAAAGGCAGAACAGATGACGAAATAATTGAAAAACGAAAACGAATTTTTTCTCATTTTTTCTTCGCTCAAATGCCAATGAAAACTACAAAAAGATTTGCCTAAGGTCTCGTATCCTAATAGTAAGACCAAATGACTTGATTTCAATCGGAACGCATCATTCTGCCGCTTACGCGTCTTATGAGAACGCAATACCTGAATTATCTCAAATAATTATCTCAATTTGCTCAAATTAGCAATTTACCTACCACCTAAAATTTACGAAAAATGATCACAAGAGAATTTTTTGTTTAGTTTTGAGGTTTAGACAACAAAGTGGTTCGGATAATATAAAAAACTCATATTGAAAACGCATAGTTAAGAATTCAAAAATTTACTGAATAAAAAACCATCCCAAGCATAAATGTTCCGCTTTTTCTACAAATACGGAACATTAAAGGGTCTTGATGTATTTTAAATTACATGTGTTTGAATTGTTTCCGAGCTTTGTTTGAAAAAAAACGCTTGTCTGCAATCAGTTTCTTTGCTTTATTTGATCATTAAAAATCAAAATGAAAAGTAAGAACTGTGTTGGCGTGAAAATTTTTTTTCATAGGCAAGTGTTTTGTTTGTGTTTTTCTCATGTTTTATACCTGATAAGCAAAAAATTACATATCAGCTTGAAATTTGTTCAGATCTCGACACTGCCTGTGTCAATTTGGATCACAAAATTTCTCTCTCTCTCTCTCTCTCTCTCTGCAAAATTTAGCTGTTGTTTTTTTTTAAATTCCATTAGGCTGGCAGAAGGGGCCAAGGCATAAATACATTGAATCGACAAAAGCAGAGATGACCATTTTTCAATGCCAGGCATAATGGTTTTTTGTATTGTTCTGTATATTGTTTTTGCGCAATATAAGGAAAAAAAACTATGTTTATGAGTCCCCGTATTAGAAAACTTTGAGCACAAAAGAGCAAATTCTCTTTGTTGCTTACCAGGATTTTTCATAAAAGAGATGACCTCTCTAATTATATTTTCAACTGACTTGTCAATAATGCATTCGAAGCAAGATTTTGTAAAATCTGCAGGATTCAGAGAGCTGGTTTCAATCCTTTTCAAAAGACAAGGATTGCCAGTTGCTATGCAAGTAGCACATATTGTTCCAACCAGATTCTTCGGAAAACCAATAAAAGTGTTTTTTTTTCTCTTTTTTTTTCATCAGACTATTGTTGTTTTTAGTGCCTGGTGGGATTTGATAACTATAAAAATGCATAGAAACATAATCAATTAGACATAATCGACATTTGCAATTAAGACAAAAATTGAGAAAATAAAGAACGAACTAGAAAATTTTTTATAACGGTTTTCGCATTTTTTAAAAACCCTTCATTGCCAAGGAAGCACTAAATTGTACATTCAAAACCAATATTCTCAGTAAAGTTAAACTTTTTCAGCCTGAAAATCTAAATAAAATTAAGTTTTGATAAAACAATCGTTACTCGATCGTTTTTCTTGCTCGAAATTCTACTGAAATCAAAAACTCTAAAACAACTTTTCTCGACACTGGGACAATTTTAATGTTTTTCGAATCACGACTGACAGGATTTTAATCTGGCATATCAGCCGAACCATTCCGATGATTATTTGTGGTACCTGATATTGGATGGAAAAGGAAAAAAAACATAAAAAAAAAACACACCCGAATACAAAGTTTCCTCCTCATTTTCAATGATCGAAACAAAAATTTACTAAGTCACAACTTAAAAAAAATTACTTTCCAAAAGGTAAAGGCAGTTTTTGTTCGCGTTATCGAGATTAAAAAACCAAGGAAAAACCATAACCCCGGGTCAAAACTGGCGTTTTCAAAACTTCACAAAATCTTTATTTAGGCCTGACCTTAATAACTCTTGAGCACAGTGATGGGAGTGTGTGTAAGACAGTGATCTACAATGGCCACACACCCCTCCCTAGAGGAAGCCAAGTGGGGGGATCACTTGAGGGCAGGAGGGTTAAGGCGGACAAGATACCTGCAGATACACTCATGCAGAAGCGGCGACCCATTTGGGAGGTGGGCTATCCGTTTCTTTACTAAGTGATTCTAGTTGTAAAATGTTTCGTTTTTTTTATCCCACTACCACCTTTGTCCATCATGTACAAAAATCGTCTCAAATGAGTAATACCAGGAATTCAAAAATGTTTAGAATGGTGCCTTCTAACTGGACTTACCTTTACAGTTTACCTGGGAACACTTACTTGGCCTGAGAAAATATGGATTTGGCCGAGTTAAATTTGATCCGAAAAAAAGTAACCATTCATTTATTCCATTCATAACACGAAGTAAATTCATTCGTAAAGTTTTATTCATAACACGATTTTTTCATTTAATAATTATTTCATTCAAATACATGAAGTAAGTTAAGCCGTACAACATTGAAAAATCGAATTTGAAAAAGTGAGGCTCTTAATTGTACTGTCCAGTTTGGCAGTTATTTAGCTTCAGTTAGAGCAGCTCCTTAACTCTTTCTATCAAACATTTCATAATCACATTTCATAGGTCATGAAAGGCCTCCAAGTGGATCACTTCATGGACCTCTCGTTCCCGGGCTCAAACTGGACCCGCTTTGTGAGGAGTGCGAGGTACTCTGGGGGTCCTGTCTCGAACGAGTACAACCTTGAACTCAGCCAGAGGGGAAATGAGCTGTACTTCATCGCCAGGCACAACATACAACCGGGTAAATTAAATGAGTTGTCTGGAGACCTTGAAGTGGCCTATGCTTTTGTATTTCAATCGAGAACAAAAAATTATTATAGACTTATTACAAAACTGAACCTTTTCTCGATATATACTTACATTGATACATACATTGATATCTATTAACAGGTACAGGTTACCATTTTAGAAAGTTTGTTGACCTAAATGCATAAACACCGATCACTTAAATTAAAGAAATAATAATAAAAAAGCTCAGGTGGTTCTTTGAAAATTCTGGTGTTCGTAACCACTATCATCCATTTTTTTGCTTACACATAAAACATAATGCTTAAAACAAAAAATGTGATCATTTTATTACTCTTTTAATTGAAAAAGTAACCTGATAATTTTTCTATTGTGGCTAGAATAATCTGAAGTAATGAAAGCTGAAGTTCATGAAAAAATAGGGATATCTAAGCCTCACTTGTGATTTCTGAAGAAAATCCAATTTTCGGCACGAATCTATCCGGCCGAAAATAAGATAGCGTGACGAACAGACGGTGTACCTTATCTGAAATTACTCTGTGAGTGAGCCACCCCGGGCTTAAACTCACAATTTTCTACAAAAGAACTAAAAAAAAACTTTGTAGCTTCACTTCAATTTGACTTCGTTTTAAGAACGAGATTGCCTACTAAAAGTTTCAATTTTCTAGGTGAGCAGCTGATGGCGTGGTATGGTGACAACTATAACATTGTAATGGGGGTTGTAGTGGGGCTAAAACCCATCCTCCCCTCAGCTCAAATTGAAGGCGAACGAACAAGACTTGAGAAAACGGACCAGTTTGCAATTAAACGGCTCAGAATTCAAACAAATCTATCAAGCAGAAAACTTTTGGCTAAAAATCCAGGTGATGTACAAAACTTCGTTTCAGTTCTTATGCTTAGGCTGAAATCTAAGCTTTCTCATAAAAATAGAAAAATATTTGAATTTCAATAAATAATCAAGCTTAAATGTTTCACAGCTGATGATAAAGAATTTTATCATGACTTTTTACAGATTTCTGCCCAGTAGCAAAACTGCCCAAACTAACCCCCACTGAAATCCAAACTCCGGTCATGGTCCCAAGTGGTTCCCCCACTGATTCTGCTGCAGGAGAGGGGGAGGGCTATCCGTGTGGAAGGTGTGGGAAGGTGTTCGCCTATCAGTACTACAGAGATAAACACCTAAAGTACACCAGGTTAGTAGCTTTGCTTTCATGTTTTTTATAATAAAAAACAAATATTGAGCAAAACGTGCAAACTAATTTATTCAGATTTTCAAGCCGGTTTCATAACTACGCCATTTTACTCCAAAACCATTGGCCGAAAAGCCAAATTAAACTAAGGCACGTTGTCTCGAAAGCCACAAATTAAAAAAAAAATACAAGGATAGCCGGTTGCTGCGCAATTAGCACTGAATGTTGCGACCACATTGAACCAAGAAAATATTCAAAGCAGTCGGAACATCAACAAGAACTTCGATTCAGAGAGCAGCCCGGTTTTTTTACTGGAACAGTTTGTGACCCCATGAATGTGTGTCTCTATGCTTTTTTCGTTAAAGATTGCTGGTTTGGGAAAAGCTGCCTCAAGCTCAAGCAACAAATTTGGAGCACCAACATCTGGATAGTACTTCGTATATTGTCGTATATCTGGATAGTACTTCGTATATTGTCGTATATCTGGATAGTACTTCGTATATTGTCGTATATCTGGATAGTACTTCGTATACTATATCTGTGTTGCAGGTGCATCGACCGAGGCGATCGGAAGTTTCCCTGCTCGCTGTGCACGCGATCATTTGAGAAGAGAGACAGGCTGAGAATACATGTACTGCACGTGCATGAGAAACACAGACCCCACAAATGTGCAGTTTGTGGCAAGTTGAACATTATGATTAACATTTTGAAAACGTAATCAAAACGAACACTAAAAAATCGGAAATTGTAATGCTAAAAAAATCGTCGTTGTTTAACTTTTCGCTTGTTATTCTATTTTCTTTTCAAATCCTCACTGACTTATAGTGATTTAGTGCTGTTTTAAATAAGGGTTTATTTTTTGCAGGGAAGACGTTTTCGCAGTCGTCCAGTCTCAACAAGCACTTCCGCGTGCACTCGGGAGAGAGGCCGTACAAGTGTGTGTTCTGCTGCAAGAGCTTCACCGCCTCCTCCATCCTCCGCACTCACACACGACAACACTCGGGCGAGAAACCATTCAAGGTCAGTCCTCAGTTCATTTCAGAGGTCGATGAAAGTTAAAAGATTGTCAATAACAACAGATATTTCAATAATAAAATTTCAATATTTCAAGTTATAAGATAGTTCAAGATCAGATTTTAAATTTTTAATATGATTTTAATGATTAAACCAGCTTGCTGTTTTAAGGTTTCTTTAAACGCAACTCAGTCAGTCATATCAATTGCTTGTTGACGAATGCTGAAGTTGCTGCTGACTTGGATAACTCGTAATTGATCGCATTTTGCCTGTTATGTTTCAGTGTCGATTCTGTCCGAAGTCGTTTGCGTCGCACGCGGCACATGACAGTCACGTGAGGAGGACCCACCCGGAGGAGAGTCTTTTGGAGTGTCTCAAGTGCGGACTGAAGTTGGAGTCACGCAGACTACTCAACATGCACATCACAATCAGCCACAAATGAGGGAAATAAGAGAACAATTGAAAAAAAAACAAGAAAATAATTCGAGAAAATATCTGTCAAAATCAGGATTGGACGATCGGCGGCAAAAAGAAAAAAAATCAGGGAAAATGTGTACAGCATAATACAACAAACATGATGCAAAAATCAGCTATCAAATCTCAAATAAAAAAAGTATAAAAAAATTGTTATGATCAAAAAAAACAAAGCCGATACAGTTGAAAATTCATGATTAAAAATTACCAATCTAGTCATTTGACAATTTGAACAAAACATGGTTTCATAAATAGTTTAAAAGCATATTAGACTCCCGAATTTGTTCAAATTAATTTACCAGTTATTATGGTTTTCCAGATGATGAATTCATATTTTAGAGAACTATAACTTTGTAAATACTTTGATTTCTTTAATCTCCCTCAAGCTTCAATTCACCCAGCTCAAAATAATCATTCATATTTTTTAAACACAATATTATAATTTATCAATGTTTTGTTATGATTTTTTTTGCAGACTATCCGGTGAAAAATGCAATGTGTTTTAAAATTTATATGAAAATTTTTACGAGTCACAAGTTTCGTAAAAAATATCTTCGTGCTAGTGTTTTTTTAATTGCTCTTTTGCTATTAAAAAGCACCGAGGTCAAAGTTGCGCAAAAAAACGAAGTGACCAACAAAAAAAGTCGTTGAAAAACTTATCTTCAAAACACGCAAAACGCAAAATAAAACACATTATGTTGCAAAAAAACGCTCAGCATTAAAATGAGCAAATTTCAACTCATATTGCGCAAAACGCAACCAAGATGGCGCTAGATTAAAATAAAAAACATTTCAAGAACAAAAATTGGACTGTCGGATTTGTTGCTCGCCAAATGGTGAACACAAGCAACCAAGACTACTAGTATCAGGGCGAAGCCCAGCATATTTCTACTGCCTTTTAAAATTTATGGAAAAGTGTCAAAAATGGGAAAATTACTTTTTTGTTATTTCGTTTTTCAAAAACCATAACTTCGCACTCAATGAAAGGCACAAAGTGATACTTTAGCATATAGCAAACTACTTAATAGAGCAAGAAGTATGCCTCCAACTAATTTGAAACGATTTCAAACACGGATTTTATTTCCGCTCACGCAATAATAGCACGAAATATATTGCGCGGTAATTATACGAATCTGGCCAAATTGGCAATCTTCAAACCCCCATAAATTTTGAAAAAATGATCACAGGTGAAATGTTTTTCAATTTGAGCTCAAGAGAAAAAAGTTTTTGGATGACATAAAAGAACTGTCAAAAAATCTAGTTGGAAACTTCGTCTGGAGAGTAAAAAACATCACGAGCACAAATCTTCACGAGATATTTGAACAATAACATTATAATTCTATATACATCGGTTCTTAAATGCATTTAGCTAAACCAGTTTTTTTTAATGTTGTGGTCCTAAATGGAATGGCAATAAGAAAGTATGCACTTCCAGGTAATTTAGTTGATCACCAAGAAAAAAGCTAGAAAAGAAACAAAGCGAGCAAAATAGTAATTGAAATGTAACAACTCAAGCAAAATAAAATAAAAAAACTCCATTTTTTATGGAAATTTGGAATCGCTGTATCAATATACAGCAAAGTGGTCAAATTTTTATACCTATATTCAATTTTCTTGAGATTGAGTAAATGTGATCGAGTTGCTAGACCCAACTTATGTTTTTTTTAAATTTATGATCTGGATTGAACTATAGCGATTGCCTTTTGACCAATCTTGATGTATTTTTCACTATATTTGACGACCAATCTTCGAAGACTTTCTAGTCAACCATCCCGGAGGTCTAACCCAAAGGTTAGGTATTTAGGTTGACAAGAGCGCATATATCCAGCGCCCCTTACTCTATGGCTTACTTGAAAGAGCTCACCTTGTAGCTACAAACTGTAGCACACGTGCGATTGGAACCATCAATCATATAATTGCTGGACACCATCACTACCGGATTGCCACAAAACCACTCCATGTGATTTGAAAAGTTACTTCTACTCGACCCAAAACTTTGTCTCTGATAACAATTTTTGATCGAGAAATGGCTTTCTCCTTGTGTTCAAATTGCAAAAAGTGAACAAAACAACAAAGTACATCAATTGAACTCTATGATAACATAGAGAATATTTATGATGTTTTTTTCCGCTTGTCTTCATAGTCTTTAAACCACAATGCGACTTTTATATTCGAGTTCATGGTGATATTTTGTCTAAGAACTGATCCAATATCAACAGTGGCGGATTTACGAGGGACGCCCATCCCTCACAGGGATTCAACCCTTGACTACCCAAAAGTCCCCCCATTTTAAGACTTCCCGTTTTAGCTGGCTGGCTCTCAAATTTTTCAAAAGGCGCCAATATAGACTTTATTCGAGAAGGGAGTGCGCGCCGAAAAAAAAACATTTTTTTGGTCAAAACTGTTCAAATAGTTTCCAACATTTTTTTAGATTGCTTCTTCAAAAATTCAATTGCGACGCAATAAATTTGGCTAAAACATGTGTTTCTCAAACTGATTTATGAGAGCTCAGAAATTCAATTTAGTCGACCTACAAATTTTTTTTTGAAAATCCCCCCCCCCCCCCCCCCCCCCCCTCGAGAAAATTTTAGATGTGTCCAGAATAAAAACCAGGCTTTTTTCACAGATAAAGCGAACCTAATCTTTCAAAGCTTCTCATGTTTCATTGCACGCTCTAGGAAATATATGACTGCAGTTTTGATTACTGATAAATTCAAATTTTCAGCTAATCCGGTTAAAAAACGGCGGTGCTTAGCTATTAAATTATAACGCGCTTCATTATTGATCCAGAAAGGCGACTAACTACAAAAAATGAAGTTACACAAATGTTCATAAAAAAATTTGTGATTCATCTTGTTAGTCTGAGTTAACCGCAATAGGCCAAAACTGCTAATCATACAATTTCATATACTATGTCCATGTAAAAAGCACGAGTCATTTAAAGATCATACGTTTTGCTACAATGTCGTCATTGTTTTTTCAAAGGAACTTTTTTCTTGCTTTGGACAACAAGTTGGTGTATTATCATAAATAAGAAAGAAAGTTCTGGTCATAAATTTGCTAATTATACCGTTTCTTCATATGTGGAAATTTTTTTACCAGCATTTTTTTGATGGCGCCAACAAACTTTTTTTAATGAAGTTTCAAAATTGACCCCCAAAAAAGTTTGTTGTTTTTTGAATCTCAAAACGAATTTTGTACTACAAAAACTTGCGTGCAAAAAAAAATTTCAATGCCTGATTAATTAAAATTTTAAGATTTGAAATTTTTTACCAACATTCAAAAATTTGTTATATCCATCATCTCATTTGTTTAAAACAACTGTAAAACAATTCAGGTCATTTCCTGTGCATTGTAGATTCAAGACCTCGCAACTTTTGGTGTTTCTACTTTTGAGTGAACCAAGACCTTTGTCATTTGTGCTTGGTTACAAGCACAACCCTTAAATTTGAGAAAAAAAAATTAAATTGAAAAATTTAAATTTATTGGTATATGGAAAAATTGTAGTTATACAATTTCTCTGATATGAAAATTACTAATCCCGAGTTGACATCCATATACTGAAATTGCTTGCCAAACAATGGAAAACACCAAAAACGTTTGTCATACAATTCCACAAACCATATAGAAATTTTACGATTTGGTTTTTTCCGTAAACATTTTTAAATCAAAAGTGTTTTCAAATAGTCAAAAATGAACCTAAAAATGGCAGGAAAAGCAGTCAAGGTTACTGAACGGTGTTTGTTCCTGAAAAAAAAGGATTTTTCGTAACAAATGCTATTCATTTTTTTCCATACATGCGACAAAACTTTTTTTTTTATTCATAGCTTCCAAAAGGCCCAGAAACTTTTATTTACTGCAAAGCGATATTTATACTCAAACAAACATTATCAAAAAAAAAAAATTTTACCTTGCAAAGTTTAAAGTTTTTTGTGTCTAACGTAGTCCTGGATACACATTTTTTTTTTCGTTTTTCGGATAATTTTTTTTTAAAAAAGCTCAAAACTCCTATTCATTTTGTATGATATGTTTATTCATTAATTGAAAATTCATTTTTTAAGAATGATCTTTTTTGAAAAGTTTTTGCCAAACTTTAAAAATTTGAGACTTTTTTATATCATATGTGTTCGACAACTCAATTCGTTTCCAATGCATTGTAAACTCAAGACAGTTATAACTTTGGTGACTACCAAAAAGTTTTAGAAAAATTAGGTTGAAAAAAATCAACTTTTTTTCTGTTTATGAAAAATGCATATCAGACATTTTTCATAAATGGAAAAATGCTGATCATAATAATTTTGCACAATTTTTGTGCGTATGGAATTCTATAGAATTGTGTGGTACAAAGTTTTCAGATATAGAAATTGCATGATTAGAAGTTTTGGTGAACCAGTGAGATCTTTTGAAATTTGAGAAAGAAACAGTTTTAGTTCAGATTTTTTTCGATAGATATTTTAAAAACGTTTGCTCGGCTCAGTATGAGAATAAAACCATATTTGAACCACACCAATACAACTTTTCATAGAAAATACGAGGTAGAGTAAGTAGCTCGAAATCTGCTAAATATTGAGACTGAAATGATCAGAGCATCTTTTTGATAATTACAATTTTTCGCTTTCATTCCAGGATGGCAGAGCAATTTAAAACTGCAGCAGCATTGACTGCGATGTCTATGAATCGCAGTGTTGTAACATAAATGACAGTGATATATCTGAGCAATCTAAGTTCATAGATAAAAATCATTTAAAAAATTTATTGTTGTTCTAGATCATCAACGAATCTTAATTTAGTAATAAATAATTGAACTGAATCATAAAATCAAAAAAAAACTTTGAGTTTACCCTCCAAAATACATGTGGTCGTTGTGGTGTTTTTATACCCACTGCTAACAAGTTATGGCATCTAATTACGCGCAACAATAAGCCAATGATGCAGATGCTAAGAAAAACACTGTGAAACTGGAGATAT